TAATTTAACCAACAATTCTGGAATTATACCAGGCAACATGCTGCCACAGCTGAAGAGGAAAGGGCTCTGGAATAACTGATGATCTCTGATTCATTTCATTTTTCAATTTGTGTTTCAAGGAAAACTTTTAGGGCTGATTTTTTTCTACTTGACCTTACCAACGTCTTTTCTCTAAAGTATTACTTCACTTGAGTAACAAATCATCTATATTTCTACACAATGTTAATGAAAATGCCCCCCCCAAAGGCTAACCGATGAGGCATTATTTATATATAATACAAACATAAAATACAAGATGGCACATGTAACATAACCAAAATCACTGGTGCTTTAAAATGTATATAGACTTCTGACTTTATTATGATGGAGTGAAGTGATTGACAAATCCTCCCTCAAAAGGCAATTATAAAGCTGAACAAAATAGTCAAAAGCACAATTTTAGCACTCTGCAATTCAAAGGCATGTACTTAGTGAGAACTATGAAACTTCAGGGAGAAACAGTGAGAGGCTATAATGTCTTTGCCAGGGGGCTGCTCCCACCTCCACCTCTTGGCTTTGTCCGTGTAGTAGTTCACTCAGGGCAGTGCAGGGCAGGCTGCGAAACCAAGCACAGAGGATCCCCTGATGAGCAATGGCCGTGGTGGCATGTGGGGCAAGCAGCAATCTAGTGGCCTAGCCCAGGATTTAGCAGGGAGTTCCAGCAGCTAAGACAGCCAGAGGAGACTTGACCCCACATTTTTGGGATCGGCCAGAGGCTACGTGCATTGCTACAGAGACAGAGAGGACCCCTGTATCCTTGCTAATAGAGCCTGCAGGCATGTGCAGGTGAGACACGGGAAGGCCCAACAGGAAGTAAAAGCCAGGGCAGGCTGAAGCGTGAAAGTGCTTCCCAGCTCACACACAGATCCATCAAGAGAGATTAAAAGCCGTACTTTGTCAAATGCTTTTTCTGCATCTATTGAGAGGATCATATGATTCTTGTTCTTTCTTTTGTTAATGTATTGTATCACGTTGATTGATTTGCAGATGTTGAACCAACCTTGCAGCCCAGGGATAAATCCCACTTGGTCGTGGTGAATAATCCTTTTAATGTACTGTTGGATCCTATTGGCTAGTATTTTGGTGAGAATTTTTGCATCCATGTTCATCAGGGATATTGGTCTGTAATTCTCCTTTTTGATGGGGTCTTTGTCTGGTTTTGGGGTCAAGGTAATGGTGGCCTCATAAAATGAGTTTGGAAGTTTTCCTTCCATTTCTATTTTTTGGAACAGTTTCAGAAGAATAGGTATTAATTCTTCTTGAAATGTTTGGTAGAATTCCCCTGGGAAGCCATCTGGCCCTGGGCTTTACTGGCTCAAGGAGTTTTATTATGACTTCTGATTCATCTTTGACTGATCACTATGCTATGCGGACACAGGGCAATCCCTCAGAAGCCAGGCTGACAAATAAAAACAAGGAAAAAATTGTGAGTAGAGAGAGCAGCAGCTACACACTGTGGGGAATACATACTTCAAAGGTTTAGTCCAGGGAAGTTATCAACCAACCAACCAACATCTCCAATGGAGGAGGGAAAATTACAAACTAGAGTTGCTACAATATATTATCTAAAATGTCCAGTACTCAATAGAAAGTTATGAGTCATGCAAGAAACAAGAAAATGCGATCCATAAAAAAGCAGTCAATAGAAGACGTCTCCAAGTGTCTCTAGATCTTGTATTTAGCAAAGATTTCAAACCAGCTTTTATAATAAACATGCTCAGAAAACTAAACGAAGCCATGTTTAAAGAATTAAATGACTCTGACTACAGATTCTCAGTAAATGTTGAACTTTTCTGGACATGAAAAGTACAATAACTGAAATGAAAATCTCACTAGAGAGCCTCAACAGCAGATCTGAGATAGCAAAAAAGGAATCTATGAATTTGAAAATAGATCAATAAAAATTATACAATCTGATGAACATAGTAAAAGACTAAAGAAAAATAAAGAGAGCTTCAGAGACCTATGAGACAATATATGTGCACTAATATATGTATAATAAGAGTCCCGAAAGTGAGGAAAAGCAATAGGGCAGAAAAAAAAATACTTGAAGATATATTGACCAAAAACTTCCTAAATTTGATGAAAAACATTAACTTACACAGCCAAGCTCCCGAATGAAACCCAATGCAGGACAAATGCAAAATACCTAGACACATCATAGATAAACTATTGAAAGGCAAAGAATAATACTAGAAACAGAAAGAGAAAAATGACTCATGTACAAAGGAACTACAATAAAATTAATGGCTGATTTCTTACCAGAAACAACAGAGGCCAGAAGGCAGTGGAATGATATATGTACAGTGCTGGAAGTAAAAAAGCTTGCAACTAAGAATTCTGTATCCTGTAAAATCATCTTTTAAAAATAAAGTGAAATAAAGACCATTCTGAGATAAACAAAAGAGAAAATTTGTTATCAGACTTGCCTTAAAAAAACACCAAAGGAAGTCCTTCATGCTGAATGGAAGTGGTACCAGATAGTAATCCAAATCTACATTAAGAAAGAGCACTAGAAATGGTGAATAGATAAATGAAAAAAATTCCGTAAAATATTTTTTCTCATTTCTTCTCTTAAATTTTGTAAAAGATGTAAGATTATATACAGCAAAAATTACAAGACTGTATTGATGGGTTTACAACACATACAGATATAAAACATATATGACAACACAAGCAAAGGGAAAAAGGAGATATAGCGGAGCAAGTTTCTATATTTCACTGGAATTAAAGTTAGCAATTTTTCCAAAACAGACTATGATAAATTAAGATGTATACTATAATTCCTAGAACCACCACCAAGAAAATAACTCAAAATCAGGGGTGCCTCGGTGGCTCAGTTTTTAAGTGCCTGCCTTCGGCTCAGGTCATGGTCTCAGGGTCCTGGGATCGAGCTCCATATCGGGCTCCCTGCTCAGCAGGAAGCCTGCTTCTCCCTCTCCCACTCCCCTTGCTTGTGTTCCCTCTCTCACTGTGTCTCTCTCTGTCAGATAAATAAATAAAATCTTTAAAAAAAGAAAAAAAAGAACTCAAAATCATATAGTTAAAAACACAAAAGCAATTAAAATGGTACACTAAAATATACTTATTTAACATAAAAGAAAGGAGTAAAGGAGGAACAGAGGGGCAAAAATGATGAGACAAGTACAAAACAAATAGAAAAATGAGGGACTTAAAACCAACCATATCAATAATTAGATCAGATATGAGTGGACTAAATAACCTACTCAAAATGTAGGGATAGTCAGACTAGATTAAAAAGCAAGAGCTGGGCGCCTGGGTGGCTCAGTTGGTTAAGCGACTGCCTTCGGCTCAGATCATGATCCTGGAGTCCCTGGATCGAGTCCCGCATCGGGCTCCCTGCTTGGCGGGGAGCCTGCTTCTCCCTCTGACCCTCCCCCCTCTCATGTGCTCTCTCTCTCTCATTCTCTCTGTCTCAAATAAATAAATAAAATCTTTAAAAATAAATAAATAAATAAATAAAAAGCAAGAGCCAACTGTATGCTGCATCTAAAAGACACACTTTAAATAGGAAGACATAAACAGGTTACAAGTAATAGGACAGAAAATGATAGGCCATACAAATAGTAACTATAAGAGAGCTGGAACTGCTCTCTGATATTAGTATCAGACAAAATAGACTTTAAGACAAGAAATGTTACTGGAGACAATGAAAGACATTTCATAATCACAAAAGCAACAGTGCATCACGAAGATGTAATAATTATAAGTGTATATACACCTAACAATAGAGACATAAAAGGAAGGAAAAACTGCAAACTGAAAGGGGAAATATGCAATTCACTAATAATAGCTGGAGATTTCAATATTCCACTTTCAATAATTGATAGACTACACAGAAAATCCATAAGGATGTAAAAGATTTTAACAACACTACCAACAAACATGATATAATTGAGATTTATGAGTACTCAATGCAGTGAGTGCAGAATTCACATTCTTCTCAAAGCACACATAGACATTTCTCCATATGTTGGACCACAAAACAATTCTCAATAAATTTAAGAAGGCTGAAATCATTAAAAATGTGTTCTATGACCACAACAGAGTTAAGTCAAAGATCTCAAAAGATAGCTGGGAAAACCAATATATTTAGAAATTAAACAATATATTTCTAAAGGGGTCAAAGATGAAATCATAAAGAAAATTTTAAAAATATTTTGAAATGAATGAAAATGAAAATACAATGTATCAAAATTTACAGAATATAACTAAAGAAGTCTTAGAGGGATATTTATAGCTTGTAATCAGGAAAAGTCTCAAATTAATAATCTAATAAACTTCTACCTTAAGAAACTAGACAAGGAAAGGCAAGCTAAAGAGGAAAAAAAGAGAAAATAATAAAGTTCAGAGTGAATATCAATGAAATAAAAACAAAACAAACAAAAAAAAACAGAGGGGGAAAAAAATAAATGAAACCAAAAAGTGGCTATTTGAAAAGATCAATAAAATTGCCAAACCATTAGCTAACTAATAAAGTAAGAGAAGACACAAATTGCCTAAATCAGGAATGAAAGAAGAGACCTCACTACTGACCCTTCAAGCATTAGGACTATCAGGGAATATTATGAACAACTTTATACGAAAAAAATCAGAAAACTTAGAAAAAAAATGGACATATTCCTAGAAAAAAAATTGCCAAAACTGAATCAAGAAGAAATAGAAAATATAAATAGACCTCCAAGTAAATAAATTGAATTATTAATTTAAAACCTTCTGACAAGGAAAATCCTAGGCCCAGCTGGCTTTGCTGGAAAAATATATCAAATATTTAAAAAAGAAATATCAATCCTTCACAAACTCCCTCAAAACACAGAGGAGAGAATGGTCTCTCGGGAAGATGGCAGCCTCGGTCCGGCCAAAAATTGATGGGCAGGTGCAGTGACCAGAAGCTCTAGACTCCAGGCCCTGTCCCCTGAGCTCTGCCGTCCACAGCCTGCATGTGCCGTGGGGCGCCCCAGGACCAGGAGCTGGTGGGCCCGGGGTCTCCTGGGCGGGGGTCCCGGGGCGCCCCTCCTCCCTCGGGACTTGTCCCGGTCCTCATCTTTCCCCCGGACCTAGTATTCAGGGCGGACCAGCGGAGCGGACCCCGGCAGCTGCTGACCCTCTATAACCCCATGGGAGCTGCGCTTCGCTTCCGAGTCCTGTGCACAGCACCTGCCAAATACACGGTGTTTGACGCAGAAGGATATGTGAAACCTCAATCCTGCACTGACATTGTGATTCGCCAGGTGGCCCCCATTCCCAGCCACTATGACATCCAGGACCGCTTCCGCATTGAGCTGTCTGAGGAGGGAGCTGAGGGTCGAGTGGTGGGGCGCAAGGACATCACCTCAGTTCTGAGGGCCCCAGCCTACCCCCTTGAGCTTCAGGGACAGCCTGACCCAACACCCCACCCAGGGCCTCCTTCCTGGACAGCACCACCCACGGCCAGACACTTCCCAGAGAACCGCCCCCCACAACTGGCCACCAGCTCCTTCCTCCTCTTCTTGCTGACGGGCATAGTCTCTGTGGCCTTCCTGCTGCTCCCACTCCAGGACGAGCTTGGCAGCCAGCTGCCCCAAATCCTGCACGTCTCCCTGGGACAGAAGTTGGTGGCAGCGTACATCTTGGGACTCCTCACCATGGTGTTCCTTCGGACCTGAGCTCCCTGCTCAACCTCCCCCCACCTCCTGGGGCAGGGACTTGGAAGTGCACATGAGACAGCCACTCTGATGCTCATGCCTCGCCTCAATTCCTCCTCCTCTTCTTCCTGCCCATCCGCCCTCCCCCAGGCACCCAGGGATTTGTATTTTCCAAATTGAATAAAATAAATTTTTAAAATTAAACTGAGAAGAAAAAAAAAAAAAACATAGAGGAGAGAAACTTCACAATTCATTCTATGAGGCTAGCACACCAAAGCCAGACAAAGACAATACAAGAAAACTACAGATCAATATCACTAATGAATACAGACATAAAAATCCTCAACAAAATATTAGCAAACTGAATGTAGAAATATATAAAAAGGCTCATACATGATGATCAAGTAAGATTTATCCCAGGGATGCAGTTTAACATCCAAAAATCAAGTACTGTAATATAACATATTAATAAAGGACAAAAAAACCATAACCATTTCAATAGACACAGAAAAAGCATTTAACAAAATCCAACACCCATTCATGATAAAAACTTTCAATACATGAAGAACATAAGAGAACATCCTCCACCTAATAAAAGGCATCTATGAAAAACCTACAGCTAACATCATAAAATGATTAAAGACTGAATGCTTCCCACCTAAGAAGAATAAGGTAAGAATGGCAGTTTTTGCTACTTCTTTTCAACACTGCACAGAAGTTTCTAGTCAGGGCAATTAAAACAGGCAGCAACCTCTTTGACCTCAGCCGAAGCAACTTCTTCCTAGAAACATCGCCAAAGGCAAGGGAAGCAAGGGCAAAAATGAACTATTGG